AACTATCATTAATGTTAATATTTTTAATCTCCTAGGTAGAGGATCTAAAAATATATAACTCAAACCATATCTTTCTCTTAATATATAATACCAATCATTTTTATTAATTTCAATTTCCATGATCTAACATGACTCTGATACCAATTATACCAGAGTGCGCAGAGTCAGCGGAATAAATTTTACACTTATAATTTTTTGGGTCTAATTTGAAGTTTTTATATTCTTGCAGTGGTTCTGGCTGTAATTTTGTTATAAGGGGTATTTTGGAAAGTTTAATTATTCCGTAAGTGAATAGTTCTGGTAAAGTAGAATTATCCATTTTTTTATGACCATACACATACACATTGTTTTATTCTGCAATTTTTATGGCCGTTCACATACACATACCTATCATTTTGTAATTATTTAGCCTACCACTTCTGCATAACACTTTTGTGATTTATATTCGTTATTGCCGCCACCTTAAATCACACGTATTCAATTAATTATGGTGGAAGAAAATATTTGTGTGAAATGATAAACTTTTATTACAATTAGTTAATGTGTTCGTTATTCATGTAATGTTGGTCCTTAAAAGTGTTTTCTTTAATTTCATAAAAGTTAATAGTTACGTATATCTATTCTAATTTTTTGCTTCTTATTTATCGTTCGATTAATTATCACGTTGTTATTCTTTTTAATATGTAGTATAGTTTATGAATAGTTCTCGTATATTAATCTATTATAAATAATTCGTTGTTACTCTTGAAGTAGCACAACATTATAATTAATATTCTTGAAAAATATTACTTGCTCCTAAAAAACATAAAATATAATTTGCAATATTCCAGAAGAATATTGACATATTACTCTTGAAAAAGTAATAGTAAGATACAACGTACTTTCGAAATAGCACATGTTTTGAAAAACATATTATTTTAAATTAATGTTTATCTCAGAAGAAAAACACATAACTTATGTCATGTTGAAATTGACTATTGGATTAATTATCGTGTGATATTTAATCATATTTTTCGAAAGTAATTGTATTTTCTTTTTCCTTTATTGTGTATTTAATCAAATGGCAAATATCACAAAATTTGAGTTTGCTGCAATTGACATATCTAGCAAAAACTATTTGTCATGGGTACTTGAAGCTGATATTCATCTCATCTCAAAAGGTTTGGGAAAGACATTAAAAGAAGGAAAAAAAGAATCCATGTAGGATCGTGCAAAAGTGCTCATCTTCATTCGTCATCATTTTCACGATGGATTGAAAATTGAATATCTCACTGAAAAAGATCATTATGGTCTTTGAAAAAAATTAACTAAAAGATTTGATCATCAGATGACTATAGTCTTCCCCAAAGCCCCCTATGAGTGGATGCATCTTTGTTTACAAGATTTCAAAACTGTTAATGAATACAATTCTGAACTATTCAGAATATGTTCAAAACGACATTGAGCGGAGAAAAAAAATCACTGATGAAGATATGTTAGAGAAAACTTTTTCCACATTTCACTATTCGAATGTGCTTATGCAGTAGCAATATTGTCAACGAGCTTTCAAAAGGTACTCAAAACTCATATCTTGCCTGTTTGTGGCTGAACAAAATAATGAACTGCTGATGAAAAATCATGGGTTACGTTTAACTGGTTCTGTATCATTGCTTGAAGCAAATACAATATCCAGACAAGGACGTGACGTGGATGCGGACGTGCACATAGAATAAATTATGGACGAAATAATCAACAAAATTATCAGTAACAAGGAAATAATTTCAAAAGATACAAAACAAACGAAAGTAGTACATCCAAAAAGGAGTATGAAGAAAGTTGCTTTAGATGTGGAATGAAAGGGCATTGGGTACGAACCGTCGTATGGTAAAATACCATGTGGATCTCTACCAAAAATCAATCAAGGGAAAGGAAAAAGTGGATACAAATTTTGCTGATTATGATTGTTTAATTGATGTGACTCATTTGGATGTCTCTGATTTCTTTACTGATTCAAATGAGAATATTGACCATTTAATTGGGGGTGTTACAATGGAAGATATAGATTAGTTTACCTTCTAGTATTTCCTTTCGTTTTAAAAACTCAATTTAAATTATATTCTTATTTTTTGAAAAAAAAAGAAACTTTATTATGCATCATTAATTTTGTAATATTGAATTATATTTACTCTTTNGTTTTCTTATAGATTCATGATGGATCGCTAAGATACTTGCTTGATTGATAGTGCAACTACACATACTATTTTTCAAGATAAAAAAAATATTTTTTGAACTTAATATTAGCAGAAAATAATGTTAATACGATATTAAGTACATTGAATATCGTTAAAAGCTCCGGAAGAGCTTGTATTATTTTACCAATTAATACAAAATTATATATTTACGAGACACTTTATTCGAGCAATTTCAAAAGAAATTTGCTTAGTTTTAAAGATATCCACTGCAATGGATATCACATTGAGACGATGCAAGAAAATAATGTTGTATATCTTTGCATAACTTCTTTTGTATCTGGTAAGAAGCAGATTAAAAAAAAAAATTCATGCACTCCCATCATCATGTATTATACATTTATAAAAATGGTCGAATCAATTATTATTACGAACCAGAAGTTCGTTGATCCAAAAAAAATTTATACTTTGTCTTATCGACTTGGACATCCAGAAGCATAATGATGCGTCGAATAATAAACAATTCAAATGAACATTTAAAGAACTAGAAGAATATTTTACTTAATGATTATTCATGTGTGGCTTGTTTGCAAGACACGTTGGTCATTAGACCTTCGACTATAAAGG